CACAACTCTTGCTCCTCCTACAGCAGTTTTAGAAATTACAGAACATTGACTCATTTCCCTTAACCAGGGCTATTTTAACCCTCTTCTGCACGTTCAAGTCCTAGGTGTTCTTTAATGTCCAGTTCAATTTTGGCTTCCTTCATCAAGTTTTTCCTACCACCAACCAATTTGTATCCCACCATACTATTTAATACATTCACAAACATCTTTCTAATCCTATCATCAAATCCAATTAATTTAACCTAAATAGTTACCAATTCTGTCCACCTCTTTCCATCTCCATTGCTGATAATAACTGCTGATGTTTACTGGGCATGTGCTACGCTGCAAGGCATTATTCTATGCACTTTACAATTATTAATTCATTTAGTCTTTTCAACAGCCCAGTGAGGTAGATTATAGTAATCATTTTATACATGAGGAAACTTGGAAATAGAATTGTTAAGTAACTTATTCAAATTCACATAGGTAATAAGTGATAGAAGTACTCTTGAGAGTTCATTTCTTAATTGATACATTACACTGCCTCTCTCTTCTAAGCCACATCCCATTTCACCTAAACTACTGCAACAGGATCCTATCTGATCTCCTTGCCTGCACTTAACTCCTCTCCAATGCATTCTTTATATCCTGAAGCTAAAATGATCTTTAAAAAAAAATGCAAAATTTGGTCATGGCACAATCCCTCCCCCAACTCCCTATGCCCTGCCTACCTCTCCAGACTTACATTGTGTTATCCTCTCCTCGAACTCTGGATTCTAACCACCTTGATGTTTTCATTCCTTCCTACCCCAGGGCCTTTGCACAGGCTATTCCCTCTACCTAGAAGGCTCTTCCCTACCTCCCGGATTAGTTCAAGTTCTGACAGGTCATAGCAGATTCTGTTAATCACGAGATGATCAACCTCACTAGAGCAGGGCAGAGTTTGCATATTTCACTCATCAGTGTATCTCCAGCAATGAGCCCAGTCTTTGGTTCAGGAATCAATCCACTTTTATTACAGGTACAATTCTAAGCTCCCTTGCTAAAAGTGCAAGTTCACTGAGGTCAGGGACTGTGCCTCAGGGAGGTGGGCTACTCTAGTAAAGAGAATATGGGCTTTCATGTCCTACCTATTGTAAATAGAGCTGCAATGAACATTGGGGTGCATGTGTCTTTTTGAATTATGGTTTTCTCTGGGTATATGCTCAGTAGTGGGATTGCTGGGTCATATGGTAGTTCTATTCTTAGTTTTTTAAGGAACCTCCATACTGTTCTCCATAGTGGCTGTATCAATTTACATTCCCACCAACAGTGCGAGAGGGTTCCCTTTTCTCCACACCCTCTCCAGCGTTTATTGTTTGTAGATTTTTTGATGATGGCCATTCTGAAAAAAGAACAAAATTGGGCCATTTGTAGAGATGTGGATGGACCTACAGTCTGTCATACAGAGTGAAGTAAGTCAGAAAAACAAATATCTTATATTAACGCATATATGTGGACTCTAGAAAAATGGTACAGATGAACCAACCTGCAGGGAAGGAACAGAGATGCAGACGTAGAAAACAGATGTGTGGACACCGGTGGGGAACGGGGTGGGATGAATTGGGAGATTAGGATTGACATATATACACTACCATGTGTAAAGTAGATAGCTAGTGGGAACTTGCTGTATAGCACAGGGAGCTCAGCTCCATTCTCTGCGGTGACCACAGCAGAATATGACATAGCATTGTAAAGCAACTATACCCCAATTAAAAAGAGAGAGAGAGAGAGAATATGGGCTTTGGCCATGTTAATTCAAAATCCATCTCTGGATGCATGATTTTTCAAGTCTCAACTTTCCCAACTTTAAGACAAAATAATCACACTGAAGACTAAAAGAGATACTGAAAATGATGTGCTAGTGAACTGGCAGCAAATGCTGTTTAGATCTTTCTTCCTAGATGCATCTTTGTGTCCCAGAGGGTCGATGGCATGAGCAGTGAGGCTGCACACCAGAGGCCCAGTGACCTCCCCCACCTCCCACATATTTCATCCCAGGCCATGGTTTCCTTCTCTACCTGTTGGCCTGCAATGGGTGCCACCGTGCGGAAGTATGCAAAAATGCTACAGTGAGCAAGAGGTTAAGGATTTGCTAGGCACAGAGGGAAGGAAGGGGACAAAATGAACATGCTATGTGTTGCGTATCCACTAAGTGACAGGCATTTTCATACATTATCTCATTTAATACTTAGCAAAAGTATCTGATTCTACAAGTGAGGAAACTGAGGCTCAGAGAGGTTAAGGTCTCACCCATGGACTTTGAACATGTAGGTGGTGGAGACCTGACTTGAACTCAGGTCTCCACAGGACTTGCTCCTGCTACCCCAGGGCATTACTTCCAAAACGATTCTCTTCCTTGCTGTTGCTTTCAGCTAAGTGTGCTTAAAAGACCCAAGACATCTTTACCTGTCTTTAAAGTCAACCTGACTCTGCTGGAAGAATCAGATAATTTAGTAATATTTGAGCACACAGTGTCTCACAATTAATTACCTATCTGCAAATGAATTACACATGCTGGAGTTTTTCTTTCAAAAAGCTACACGCCACTTGAGTAGAAAAACTAACTCTGAATTCAAAATGCCCAATACTAAAATATTGACTAGAGAATTTTTTTAAAAATTAACCTAATTTTGAATGAGTTTTAATTAATGAACTAAAAGCAGTTAATCATTACCATTCTCTGGGCCTAAATGAAATGAAAGATTAGGTCTAGAAGGGAGAGGGAGGGCAGAGGAAATCATGTCCTGTCTCTCTGAGATGCTACCCCAGCCCAGGGCTTGAAACGGAGAACTGAGCACCCAAGACCCCACATAACTGGTTGCATCACACAGCCTATATACCGAGGTTACCCAAAATGTAATCCATCCACTACCTGGGACCTTTGTTGGAATGCCACTTCCTAGGACCTACTCCAGGCCTACAGATTCAGATTCTCTGAAGATGACACCCAGGAACTGGCATTTTAACAAACACTCCAGATGTTTCTGATTCATCCCAAGGTTTGAGAACAGCTTTGGGAGCTCAGTAAAAATATAAAGATCAACTGCATGTTTATTTACTTCATGGGAATATAATTTTCTGTAAGAACCTTGAAACTTTTTAAATGAATAATATATTTATCCCAGCAACTCTAAAGGTGAGGCAGTGCCATTTTCAAAATGAAAGAAATCAAGTCTTAAAATATATACGACATGTCCACCCTTTACACACAGTCAGGAATGAACTGCCTTGCACTTAAGAGGAGAGCAATAAAACAGCTACCATTTCACTGATTAGGACGTTGTATACTGTAAATCTAATCCAGTTGATTAACTCACCTTTGTATCCGATTCCTAGTTAATTTTGTCTTGTGGGGGAATGGCATTTTTCTAAATTTATAACTTCAATATGCTCCTTAGTTATGAACAGACTCCCTGACTCAACTACTAATTTCATGTTCAGGACACTCTTTTATTCTTCTTCTGTACAACCCCCAGAAAAGGTAAATTTTTAGATAAATTACTTCCTTTTCTTCCTCCTCTCCACTGGTTAAAGACAGTCCCCTAGTCAATTCCCTCACCTGCTATCCTACCAATTCAAATGTTGGAAATGAAAATTTAAATTACAAAAAGAAACCTAATTGTTGAACAATTCCTTGTGATTAAGCAAATACCTCTAATCTTTCCCTGGTTTAGCAGTCTCTCTTCCTTTGCTTCTTGGGACTTGTCCCAAGCCTAAGGCATCCCTGAAACTTGAGGGTCAAAGTACCCAAGGCAACAATTCATCAGTCTCAGGGTTTATTGGAGTCTCCCCATTTGGGAGAGCTCTGAGAGTTTCATCACCTTGGAAACACGACAGCAGGCTCCCTGAATATACACAGGGAGTATAGATTTTTAAGCACCAAAAGAAAACAGGGTTTAGTTATCCCCAAATGTAAGAGTCACGATTCAAAACTGTCACTGACTCGGAAGCATCTTTAGTCAGGAATAGTATCTTCAAGCTGACAAGTTCCAAATATATGTACTTATGCTAACCAAACCGGTAGTTGGGGAAAAGCTTAAAAATAACCCATCTCTATCTTTAATTATTCTCCTAAAAATGGAATGGCTTTCACTGAAACTGGCCAGGCCACTGCCAATATAGTTACCACTGGTGTGTATGGAACAGTCAAGTTACCTATGTCGTTTGCAGAAATCCTGATTTTGGAAACGTATAAGTGTGAAAGATACTCTCATAGAAGACATTTTGAACCTTAAAATGGAACTGCTTGCTTTGATGCAAATGGCTGGGGGGTGGATAATTTATCTCAGACTATCCTTTCTAGTATTACAAGTCGTCTAGTCTGAATCATTCATGTATTGTTTGCTGAATGATCAGGTGAATGAAATCAGTTCTTTACTTATTCCAATGCACTGAAAGGGCTCAACAACACTGATCAAATGACCCTTCTGTTATTTCTTTCACAATAAATTCAATCAACTTTACGGAGCGCCTAGGCGGTGCCAGGCACTGTGTCAGGCTCCTGAGATACAAAAATGAATGAAGCGCGGTGCTAGTTTATTAATGATCTCTTAAGATTTGGCAGGGCACAGCCTCGCTCCCTGCCACCACAGCCTGCACGGCTGTCGAACCAATCGTGGGTGTGCGTACTCCATGGCTCCCAGCACCTGGGAACACTTTACTCCCAGTCCAGCCCACGAACCCAGTGCCAGGGCTCTCCCGGCGTTCTCCCAAAGCCAAAACGCTCAAGTTCAACTCCAGCGCGGCGGCGCCAGCTCCACACGGAGCTAACTCCGGGCTCCGCGGCTCACGCGGCGAGCTTCCTTCCACCTGTCCGCCCGCCCGTCAGGGTGCGCCAGACCCCGCACCCGCTTACTTTGCCGCTGTCGCTCACACCAAGGAGGTGATCCCGCAGCACCTCCATGGGGCAGGTCCAGGTGGAGTGGACGAACGTCCCTCGGAAGATGTGCGCCAGGGGCGGCATCCGGGCGGCACACATGTCAGCGGTGGAGCGCAGTGCGGAGTCCGCGGCCCAAGGAGGGCGCACCGGGCGGAGGCGCGGCGAGGACTCCCTGCGGCTGCGGGCAGCTGCCGAGCCGGCACCAGCGCCGGCCTCGTCCTGCCCCCGCTTCCCCGCGCGATCGCCTGCCCCCTGCAGACCGCGCCCAGGGGCTGGCTCCCTGCCTCCTCGATGCCAATAGGATTTTTTCTCCCGTGAGTTGGCTCCAGTCTCCCCTCCCCTGCTTTAGTTTTTGATAACGTTAACTCTTTGAGTTTCCAAAATCACCGTTCACGCTGCGGTTCTTTTAACCCTTGGTTGTTGTCACCCACCCAGGGGGCAGGAGATGAAGGAAGGAGCTGGAGGATTCAGGATTCCATCCCTGTGCCTTTAAGTGGTCATTAAATTCGCTTTTGCCGCGGGCCCCAACTTCCTCCACCTTCCTTTAGCTGGCACGCCCAGAGTTGCATCTATATGCTTTCTCTGCCCTTTAAACTCTTAGCACTACTTGTGGCCAAACCCTGGAACTTTTCAACCTGTAATAACCACAAGGTCTGAACGGGCACAAGTTCAGTGCCAGGGTGACAGGTCTGTTAGGGCTGCCTACTTTACCAACCAGTTTCATTTTCATTTTCTGCGGGCTGCAGAATTTGTCCAAACCTCATGTTCTGAAAGCACGTCTTACAGAATTATGGGGGCCCCACCAGTGGAGGCTAATCTCGACCCCAAAGTTCCTCTCTTCACCTGAGGCCAATGTTTTGGGCCTTGTGTCCACCCACAAACAACTCCAATTCCAGTTTTTCTCATACCTAAAATAAATGAATCTCTTTGATTTACTTCCAGTTGTACAGGGGGAGAAAATTAAGTACTCGAGCCAAGTAGCTAAAAATGGCAGTGTGGCATGACTTGGTGGAAAGAGTCCTGGATTAGGAATCAAGAGACTATGGTCAATGCAGGTGGGACTCAGCATCCTTATCCTTGTTTGTGAAAATGGAACTGGGACTGGGTGGTTGCTAAGATTGATTCTAGGTCAGCATTCCTTCCCTACAGTATGTGCACAAAGTACTTTGCTAAGTTCCTCCAGGAAGAATAACTGGTTTCCACTCAGGGCCTTTGCGCATGCTGCTCCTTCTGCCCCTAATGCCTCCTGTGGATACTCACATGACTGGCTCTTCTGATCACTGGTTTGCCTCGAGTGTCAGCTCTTCGGAGTAACCTCCCTCCAACACCAAGCTAACAGCACGTCCCCATCCCTGGCAGTTTCTATCGCATTAGACTATTTTGTTTCTGCTATTGCATTTATCATATCCATTCTCATTTATTTTATGCTTTTTCATTTATTTCTGCTTCCCTTCCCCCAGTATACACACACACAGAGTAATGGAAGCACCACAAGAACAGGAGTCTTATACCTAGAACAGTGCCTGGTGTTTCATACATATTGAATGAATGAATGAATGAATGGTTTTTCTGGGAGCAGAACAGTAACCTGAGACAAATATCTATTTTGGCTCCTACATAAAGGATAAGGGTTTCACATTGCCGTGCATGAGCAAGCTTTCTCTGAATTGCTGCTTTTATGACACAGGGGTAGCTTATATAAATGATTCATTCCCTTCTCAGTACCTTCACCTCCCCCTTCCCAAGGTGTAGGGTGACCAACTCATGGGGACTTTCCTTGCTGTAACACTGAAAGTCTCACAATGCAGGAAACTCCTCAGTCCCAGGCACACCAAGCTGGTTGATCACCTGCCAAGAACTCAGATTAGGAAGCCCTGAGATTAGGAAGCTGAGAGCTTTGCACTTGCCTCTGGGAGACATCAGCCCTTTCTCCCTGTTGCTTACTTCTGATTATGCAGACCACACTCCCTGCTTGCAGTCGCAAGAGACAGAACACTGAAAACATCCTCTTGATCTAGGCTTGTATACACACAAACCTCAGAAAGAAAAGTGAACAAAATGTCTGGCTGTCACTGTAAAAGAGGAATCAATTAAATATTTCTAAAAGAGGGAGGGGCTTCCCTGGTGGCGCAGTGGTTGGGGGTCCGCCTGCCAATGCAGGGGACGCGGGTTCGAGCCCTGGTCCGGGAGGATCCCACGTGCTGTGGAGCGGCTGGGCCCATGAGCCACAACTACTGAGCCTGTGCTCCGGAGCCCACAAGCCACAGCTAGTGAGCCCATGCGCAGCATCTACTGAAGCCTGCGTGCTCTAGAGCCCGTGCTCCGCAACAAGAGAAGCCACCACAATGAGAAGCCCGCACACCGCAACGAAGACCTAACACAGCCAATCAATCAGTCAATCAATCAATCAATAAAATTCTTTTTAAAAAAAAAATTTCTAAAAGATATATTGGTTTCCTAACATAAATACAGCTAATGTATTTTTTAATGAAAGCCACCTAAATGTCCAACAATTGAGTCTAGTTTAGTGAATCAGAATCTATTTACTTAGTAGAATATTATGCAGTTATTGAAAACAATACGGGATATATGTAACCTTGTAGTAATTACGTATAATAAAATGTCGGGGTTTTTTTTAATGGCATTTATGCTATGCTTAAAATCAGGAAAAGCCTAGGTCACAATGGCTAGAATTTTAAAAGTGTACCAGGGTTGCCCTGGTGGCGCGGTGGTTGAGAGTCCGCCTGCCGATGCAGGGGAGCAGAACAGTAACCTGAGACAAATATCTATTTTGGCTCCTACATAAAGGATAAGGGTTTCACATTGCCGTGCATGAGCAAGCTTTCTCTGAATTGCTGCTTTTATGACACAGGGGTAGCTTATATAAATGATTCATTCCCTTCTCAGTACCTTCACCTCCCCCTTCCCAAGGTGTAGGGTGACCAACTCATGGGGACTTTCCTTGCTGTAACACTGAAAGTCTCACAATGCAGGAAACTCCTCAGTCCCAGGCACACCAAGCTGGTTGATCACCTGCCAAGAACTCAGATTAGGAAGCCCTGAGATTAGGAAGCTGAGAGCTTTGCACTTGCCTCTGGGAGACATCAGCCCTTTCTCCCTGTTGCTTACTTCTGATTATGCAGACCACACTCCCTGCTTGCAGTCGCAAGAGACAGAACACTGAAAACATCCTCTTGATCTAGGCTTGTATACACACAAACCTCAGAAAGAAAAGTGAACAAAATGTCTGGCTGTCACTGTAAAAGAGGAATCAATTAAATATTTCTAAAAGAGGGAGGGGCTTCCCTGGTGGCGCAGTGGTTGGGGGTCCGCCTGCCAATGCAGGGGACGCGGGTTCGAGCCCTGGTCCGGGAGGATCCCACGTGCTGTGGAGCGGCTGGGCCCATGAGCCACAACTACTGAGCCTGTGCTCCGGAGCCCACAAGCCACAGCTAGTGAGCCCATGCGCAGCATCTACTGAAGCCTGCGTGCTCTAGAGCCCGTGCTCCGCAACAAGAGAAGCCACCACAATGAGAAGCCCGCACACCGCAACGAAGACCTAACACAGCCAATCAATCAGTCAATCAATCAATCAATAAAATTCTTTTTAAAAAAAAAATTTCTAAAAGATATATTGGTTTCCTAACATAAATACAGCTAATGTATTTTTTAATGAAAGCCACCTAAATGTCCAACAATTGAGTCTAGTTTAGTGAATCAGAATCTATTTACTTAGTAGAATATTATGCAGTTATTGAAAACAATACGGGATATATGTAACCTTGTAGTAATTACGTATAATAAAATGTCGGGGTTTTTTTTAATGGCATTTATGCTATGCTTAAAATCAGGAAAAGCCTAGGTCACAATGGCTAGAATTTTAAAAGTGTACCAGGGTTGCCCTGGTGGCGCGGTGGTTGAGAGTCCGCCTGCCGATGCAGGGTACACGGGTTCGTGCCCTGGTCCGGGAGGATCCCACATGCCGCGGAGCGGCT